ACTTGCCGGCAACCAAGGTACATGCCCTTGACCGGAATCGAACCCAGGACCCTTCAGTCTGCAGGCTGATGCTCTATCCACTGAGCCAAACCGGTTAGGCAACTTAGTCCTTTTAAATGAAACCCTATATGCGTGTTAACATTTCTCTCACTTATTAAATAACAGTATATCCTTAATGTACTGAATTCAACATTTAATTGCACAAGATGCTGAAGGGACTTGTCATTGTGAGCGTTGTAGGCGGTGCTGTTCTCGGAGTCGCTTGGTTGTGGTGGGGGTACAATCATGATGTGATCATAGTACTGACTCCTTAGTCTTCTCACCGTCAGTTGGTGCCCCTTTCTCATTTCTAAAAAAGCATCTGAATTCTAAGGGGAAAAACACTTAAAATCTCGGTATACTTTTTTGGAAGAAACATTTTCTATTCCCCTTTTTCAAATCGCAACTGATTCCCTTACATTAAGATTAAACACAGAAAGTGAGACTCATGCCCCACTTAAATGATACCTGTTTTAGCTCTCATAAAGCTTTTGTAAAAGGCCTAGAACAGTGGTGGGAGTTACTTTGGTTTTAATTGAGTGAACATACAATGACGCTCTGACCTGGTGTGTGGAGATGGACGTGCAGGTGAAAAGCATACACACTGAGGTCGTTCCCCTTCACAGTGACCATGTGTGGCCAGGGACCAGGGGTGCCTGGTTGTCCCCTCGTTACCACATCGTTGGTCTGTACAGTGGAGTCCCTGGCCCATGGGAGATCGGAGTTGACTGATGAAGAAGAAATGGGAATGAATGGCTGTATTGCTTTAAATATCCGGTGCCTTAACTTGCTGTTAAACTCAACCCCCTCCACCAGGTGCAGCATCCTGCTGCCAAAATGATTGTGATGGCCTCGCACATGCAAGAGCAAGAGGTGGGAGACGGCACCAACTTCGTGCTGGTGTTTGCTGGCGCTCTGCTGGAGCTGGCTGAGGAGCTCCTGAGGATCGGCCTGTCGGTCTCTGAGGCAAGCGTTCACTTTAGTGTCCTAGTTAGTATGTGTGTGCTCACGTGTGTGCATGTGTGTGCTCACGTATGTGCATGTGTGTGCTCACATATGTGCATGTGTGGTCGTGTGTGCTCACGTATGCACACCCCCACTGCTTCCAAGAGCCATCCTCAGAGCCCCAGCGAGCGTGAGCCTTCCCTCTGCCAGTGCTGCGGACCGGCTCTGCAGGCCCCGCCTCGTCCACACCAGAGCCTGCCTGTGAGGCGAATAAAACGACCCCAGTCCATTTCAGGAGAAGGGGGTGAGGCCTCAGGCAAATCTCGCTGGAGACCTTGTAGCTAATAAGTGGTGGTTAGGATTCAGGTGTGGCCTCTCGCCCACGGCTATCCTAACTCGTAGGCTCTGCTATGAATGTCGTTCTGGACGTGTGTTTGTTATTTCGTATTGAAAATGAACGTACGTGTTCATTGGGTCGCCATAATATGCTGCTTTGTCATAAGTATGTCTTTGAGAACGGTTTTTGCATTTCACACGGCAGGTCATCGAAGGCTATGAAATTGCCTGCAGGAAAGCCCACGAGATTCTCCCCAGTTTGGTTTGTTGTTCTGCAAAAAACCTCCGGGATGTCGATGAAGTGGCCTCTCTTCTCCACACGTCCATCACAAGCAAGCAGTACGGCAACGAAGCCTTTCTGGCCAAGCTCATTGCTCAGGCCTGTGGTGAGTCAGGATCCAAAATCACTTGTCTGACGTACGGAGCTGCTTCCTCGCTGTCCCCAGCCCCTCATTCATGCGTCCTCTTTCTCAACAGTGTCCATCTTTCCTGAGTCGGGCCATTTCAACGTGGATAACATCAGAGTTTGTAAGATTCTGGTAAGTTTAGAAAATGCATTTGACATGACCTAGATGTTACTTGTTCTGGGGGGAAATTGTGTTAATCTACACCTAACCCTTGCCTTGGGTTTTGGCACTTA